GTAAGTTAGAATCCTCGATAATGCTTCATTTAGAGTCACGGAGAGTCATTCTGAACAAGATGAATCGGGACTCCCAGGTTGCTTTAAGCCGTATCTCACAGTCACAAGGGTCTGGCGCGATAGCGTTAAATGAGACTTACTTGCTGGCGCTCAACAAACGCAGCCCCCGAGCGGGCGTGGCCGCAGATGAGTTGTGTTGCACATGGTTGCATGTTGTTGCCTGTTTACGGGAAAAGGCGCTGCAGATGGCCAATGGCGACGTCAACCAGGCCATGAAGAGATCATGCGAAGCGAACTCAGAGGTTTAAGCTTCATGCTGGAACGGTAGCTACCCGAGTCCTCAACAAAGAATGTTCCAGACTTGCCGCGCAGGCGATCAATTTCCTTTTGGGTGGTGAAGCGTGAGAAGCACGAGAGAGGCAAGAGTTGCAAGTTGGAGTAAAGACTATGGGGCAAGGGCAGATGAAGGGATGTTAAGGCTCACGGCAGTATTTCTCGCACTTAGCAGACGCAGGCACGAGAATGTGTTCAAGAAACAAGCTGGTATATTAATATAGCAAATGCTGATGTAGACATAGATGTGTACGCGTATCCGTAGTTGCCGCAGACGAAGCAGAGGCAAATAGTCAGCCGTGTGCAACACCCGATAAGAAAGTGTCTTCAAGACACGATCTTGTGCAACAGCTAACGCCAATTCTGTGTACCAATAGTGAACGAGAAACGAGTCGCGATGCACGTTCGCGTCTCTTTCCATGACCGGTGCTTCTTTGCAGCAGGTGTTGTAGTGGCCAGCCCGACTAGTAGCAGCAGCCGCAGGTCGAGCAGTGACAATAGAAGTAGAAAGCAGCAGTAGCAGTAGCAGCAGCAGGAGCGGTGGTAGTAGCAGGTAGGCAGCAGGAGTGGTAGCCGTAGTCGCAGTCGTAGATTTTGTCGCAGTCGTAGTCGTAGTCGTAGCAGCAGCTGCAGCTGCAACACCAGCAGCAGTACGAGTAGCAGTCGTCGTAGTAGTAGTAGTAGTAGTAGTAGTAGTAGGAGGAGTAGCACTAGCAGTGTCAGTAGCAGTAGCAGTAGCAGTCGCAGTCGCAGTCGCAGTCGCATTCGCAATCGCAGTCGCAGTCGCAGTCGTAGTCGCAGTCGCAGTAGTAGGGGCAGTAGCAGCAGCAGCAGTAGCAGCAGCAGCAGGAGTAGTAGTAGTAGTAGTAGTAGTAGTAGTAGTAGCAGCAGCAGCAGCAGCAGCAGCAGCAGCAGTAGTCGTTTTCGTCGTCGTGGGGATGGTTGTTTTTGAGCAGTAGTGGTAGTCGTGATTGGCGTAGTCGTCGTCGTCGTCGTAGTAGTAGTAGTAGTAGTAGTAGCAGTAGCAGCAGCAGCAGCAGCAGCAGCAGCAGCAGGAGGAGTAGTAGTAGTAGTAGTAGTAGTGGTTGTAGTTGTGGTTGTAGTTGTAGTTGTTGTTGGTAGTAGTTGTTGGTGGTAGTAGTTGGTGGTAGTAGTTGTCGCTGTCGTGGTCGTGGCGGTCGTGGCAGTCGCGGTCGCGGTCGTGGTGGAGGTGACGGTCGCGGCGGTGGTAGTGGTGGTAGTGATAGTGGTGGTGCTGCTGGTAGTGCTGGCGGTGGTAAGTGGTGGTGGTAGTGAAGTAGTAGCAGGAGTAGAAGCTGTTCTTGTTGTTGTTGCCGTGGCTGGTAGAGGTGGTGGTGGTGTTGGTGGTGTTGGCGGCGGCTGTGGTACTGTCTATTTTGCAGTGATGACTCTTCTGGTCCGTAGCGGTTGATGATGTTTGTAGTGACATTGTAGTGCCTGCAGCGTAGGAACAAGTGTTGTGAATCCAGGGTAGTCCCTGATTGCGAAGCATCAAGGATTTCTGACAATTCCCGAAGGCTTCCGTGATGCGCAGCAGAAGGCCCCTTGGCGAGGCGAGCTTGCGATCACAGGAGCTGGACCCATGAAAGCAAAGCGTCTTGGGGATGTCGAGCTTTTACCGCATGAGCTTGGTGCTCGGGCTGATCGCAGTTGATTCCCTTGCGTTTGAGGGCTTCGGTCTTGGGATTCACAGCTTCTTGCTCCAACAATCTGCTGTTTCGGTCCGTGTCCTCTGTCAGTAGTAGTAGTAGTAGTAGTAGTAGTAGTAGTAGTAGTAGTAGGACTACTACTACTATTACTACTACTGCTACCGCGGTTACTACGGGACGACTACGACTGCTTTGATTACAACTACGACAACCCTTTCCCCTACCGCTACCCCTACCCCCCTCACCTTACCCCTACCCTACCGCTGCCCCCACCCCTACGCCTACCCCTACCAGATACACCAAGCCCCAGGTCGCATGCTTTGATCGAAGCTTAAGCACCGTTAAGTCTGACGCTGAAGCGTTTCGGGTTCCTGTAGGCTTTCTGTAGGATTGAGGGTTGAACCCGACCCGAAGTAGGCTGCCTGCAGCTGCAGGAGGCATCGTTGACGGAGTGACCGTGACTCCGCCAGCAGAGCAGCGTCCTCCTAGCTAGAAACACTCAATCCACCTTAAGCACACTACAGCCATCCTGAGGACTTTGCGCAGGGTGCAGTGGCACTGATACCTTTTCCAGCCAACCCAGCAGAGATGTGTGCAGAGATTGCTGTGAAGAGCCCTTCCGTACTGGATGGTCGACATCCCGAAGTCCCCCACATCGAGCATGTTGTAGTCATGCTCCTTTGGGTCGCAGGTCCAAACAAGGCACTGCATTTTGTCCTAAGTTTGGCTTAAGCAATCAGGTGAAAGGATCACACTACCGGGACAGCACTTATTCAGAGTCGCAGCCTTTATTGCAGCTTCTTGCCCCTTGTTCTGTTCACTCTCGCAGTTGGCTCCTGACGGATAGCAATTCGATCGCACCCGTTCGTGCAGGGTCTGCTCTTCCCGCACTGCCTGCCCTATTGAGCAACTCTAAGATCAAGATCACATGCTAATGTGTTTAGCAGGTTTCTCGTTTTTCTCAGTCTGTCTGAAATCTGACTAAGAAATTGCTGAACATGGTCTGGCAAAGGGTTACACGAAGTTGTGATTTTGAGAGGCTGCGTCTCAGAGAGAGAGAGAGCGAGAGAACAATCGGCTACACCCAAACCAAGCCAAGCGGTTTTCAATTTGGCTAAGCCTTTGCGCCGGTCTGGAAGGTCTCCTGCAACTTCTTGGAAAACGAACGGACCATCCAGGTATTTAGCATGACACAGAAAGCAGGATGTCAAATTGAGATGGAGATGGAAGGATAAACTTCAAACGGTCGAGAGGAGTTCGCATGACGATTTCGGTGGATGTGAGTTATCATTATATGTAGCCTTACCGGATACAGATCCTAGCTCGTAGGCCGTTGGCGAAGCATGCGACATCGCTGCATCGTTGCTTGCGCCAACCGGGGTCGACACAGTTGGGCGAGTAGCAGCTGCAACGGCAGATAAAGCTTGACTGGCGTATGCGGGCCCTCACTTTACGACACAAACCAAGGCATACCAGCCTTGCGTACGAGTTTTCAGCAGTCAGATTGCAATTTCTTGCTGCGATTGCCAGACAATCCGTCCCAGCGACGTGGCGTAACTCACTTCATTTGGAGCTGGATCTGAAACGTCCGAAACGGGAACACAAACTGATCGATTCTCAGCTCGTGAATTTCGGCTCATACGCTCCGCCGAAACCCTCCCACATGCAAGGTTATCGACAATCAAACCGGGCGATATCCTGATAGCTGAAATCACAATCCTAAAGAACTCCTGTCAAGAGTCTATGTCTAGGTTTTGGAGTTGTGCTTTAGTGCTTCAGGCTGCAGCTACGAGTTGGCGTATAAGTTTCGAAGAGTTGGCCTCTGCTACCCGAAGCAAGGTAACGCACATTTCGGGCAGTGCGGGGGGAGTGCAAGTGCCAGCGCCCCGCGAGGTATTGGACACATGGGTCACAGGTTTTGTGTGCCTTCTGGAATTTTGGATTCAGGCAGTGAGGCTGTTGCTTGCCAGCACCGTAAAAAGTCTGTGGTTACATGCTTTGGTGGGTTGAAGTTCAGTCGCGAGGCATTTCGTGGGAGCTGCAGGCAAATCTGCTCGGGCCCTGTCATGCTCGCGAAAGACTGTTGCATCACAGTGCTGCGCCCCCGGGCAGCAATTCGAGAACCTGCGCGGCCACCCAGCGACCCCACAGTAAGCCAGAAGTCAAAACCGTAGCAGCATTTTCGTGGCTTCTGGCCGCAACTTCGAACCTGGCTCCAAGCCAACATGGTTTGAAGACACCACATTCCGATTACCGCAAACCGGCTAAGTCGAGCACAGTAGACTTGCCTCCTTAGATTGGAGGGACAGCGAGGACTTCGCGAAAAAGGTTGCGCCATGCATCTCGATCCAGCTGGATTTCGCATCCTTCACAAGCTACATGTCCTCGTTGTTGAGCATGTGTGGGCAGTGTGGGCTTGAAGGCTTACGAAGTCAGGCAATTTTGTCATCGGGTAGCAGACTGTATCATCCAGAGTTTAAATGACCGAACAGCAACATGCAGCCGTCAAGCGGCGGTCGCGGATTTTCTCAAACTCCCAGTGCATAGTTCGAATGCGCGGCTCGCAAACCGAACATCCGTGTTGATGGTCGCAAACCTCTTCAGCTGCAAGCCCTGGCTCCGGAAGATCCCTACTGAAACCTGTCCCCAAGACCAACCATGTAAGTCGCCTCCTTATTGTAGTGACATTGTAGTATTTTTCAAGACTGGGCTGTTTGTCGATGGGACTATCATTCGCATTGCCGTTCTATCGCTACCATGAATCATGACGAAGGCTATTCCCGACAGGTTGCTAACATGATTCACACAACTATGAATATTTGCAGCGCAGATGTGCGAGAAATTCAGATAACAAATGAAGTAGCTTAGCAGCACGTGGCAGTTCTATGTATAAACTTAGTTTCATATTCAAAAGCTACTCGTCGCGTTTTGGCTCCGAGCCTCCTGCCCCAAGCTATCAACCGCTATCGCTGATTGTGATCCCGTTGTTGCCGAAACATGAAGGCCTTTCCGGGTATCGCTTTCTCGGATGTGGGGCTTGGGAGAACTTGCCAATACCACACGGGAAACGCACATAGAAGGTGTTTCGAGTTAAGCAATTCATGTTTCTAACCGTTTAGACCAAATCGAATTGAGCTGCGGCACAGAGTCTGAGGTCCCAAGCTTTTGAGTGCAATTTCTGCATCGGGTGACGGGGCTCGTTGAGAAGCAATGCACTCATATATCGCGAGACTGGTCTTTTTCACGAAGACTGTGACTAAATCCTTCGGACATGCTACAACGCCTGTTGCAAACGCTTTGTCTGAACAGCAGAGCTGCTGCAGTCGTGTGGGTGTCAGACTTCGACCAGGTAGGAGGATTTATGGCTTCGTCTCTGCCTGGCAGGTCTCCGAGATCGTTGCAGCTGTGCGTGCGCGTGCGACCAACGCAGCTGAGCTGGCCAAGGCAGCTTCAGACTACTTCAGACGAATCTCTCAAGAGCCAGAACGATTTGGGGGCAGGGCATGGGATTCAGCGCCTTGCGCTGCGTGGTGTCAAGCCAGATTCCAGTGCCCACAGTCAACTGGCAGAGGCAACAGTGCTGAACGTCCGCACGGAGGCACTCGCGTCGGCGGAGAGGTTGAAGATGTCGGCGCTCGCCTCAGTCAAGGAATCGTCAGGAGGGTGTGGGGACTTAGGGTTTCGGACTTACCGGCATATAGGGTTGAAGCGGTCAGGATATTATTCATCCAAATAGCGTTAAGGCCAGGCTCTAGACACTGCTGACACTGCTTACATCTAGACTCTAGACCCCTTCCGAGGTGTTTTCGCATGTTTGGCTCGTCTTTAGGTCACAGCATCCGCAAAGACTGCTCGAAAGATGGCAGAGAACAAGATGAAGGAGAGATTTGTGGGCATGGTTTTGGACGGATTCGGGTCTTGAGGGCTTCCCGGTCTCTACGGACGTTAGGCTGAGCTGCCATTTCGTTTTGTCAACTCACCGCCGGATCGAACTCAGCTAGTTCGATACCCCGAAAACTTACCCAGTACTCTGCATGACGCGTTGCTTCAGCTTGGGATTGTGCGGGTCACAATGTTCAGGCAAAGCCTGCTTGTACATGTCCCCCGGATCGAGAAACAGGTTTGTGCTCCTGTCAAATACTTAAATATTTTCCAAAGTTTTTTTTCGTATCTGTACGAGTGGGTCTTTGTGTGTGTAGATAATAATATATATACATATATATATATATATATGTATATACACATAAAGGCATATGTGTGTTTGATTGCTGTGAGGGGTTATTCGGGGCACCAGCCTTTGTGAGGAGACTATGGATGGGGCAGCAGCAGCAAAAGCAACAGTCCTGAGCCAGGCTGACTGGGAAAGCCGGGATCTTTCGCGACCAGCCCTACTAAGTTACTAAGCCCACCCGGCGAGGTGAGGCGTAGGTTACCACTCCACTCTTCGAGGCTATCTCATTTCCATGTTTCCCAAAGCGTCTGCTTATCTTTTAGCTTGTAGCAGTGGGCTCGACTCGGCCAGCGGCCAGCGCGAACCCGTCAATTGCCCTCGACAGCCGGACATGTCAAAGCCAAAGAGAAGAATGGAATCAAATTTGCTTCCACTTCATCGTTGCCATCAGCCAGTAGCAGTATTGTGATGAACCTCGTCATCGTCAGAATTACCATTTTGGAATTCTGTTTGCTTTTGGTGCTCGTACCCTCATCGCACCATTGGATCTTAGACCCGAGCCCTGCGTTAAGCCATCTGTTGTTCCCAGCCTTTCTCCGGAACCGTTCGAACATTTCAAGACTTGCCTCCTCCATATCCCGCTGCGCATGGACGTCTCCTCAACCCCAACAGTATGGGTTCGACAACTGTAGAGACGACATGCAAGCAGGTCCAGGCGTCCCGCGCCGCACTGGCCGCAAGCTACGCTGAGCTCCGTTCCGAAGGCCTGCGAACCTGGACCGCCAAGACCTCCAAGGCTCTCGAGGGCTCTTGAAGCGGTTTGGAGAGTTTAGGGATGTCTTCATCCTTAGGTCCTTGGCAGCTTTGGCAAAGGGTGTTTGGGAGCGTCCATGCTTTCTGCGGCGACAGGTTCAGGTTTAGCCCCTAAGCGGCTTCGTGCTTCAGGGCTTTGTTGCTCCTGCCTTGGGTTCTGTCCAGCAGACCAGCTTGTCATTCAGAAATGGCTACTAGAAGTGAAATGCTAAAGACTATAGATTCTATAGATGTTGCCAAGACGGTATCTGGTCCACGTCACGAAAGGGTGCGTAGATTGGGGCCCGCCTTGTGGTCTTCAGGTGCTTCAGCAGAAGGCACTGACGACGGCCCAGGCAGAAGGATTTGGAGGGAATGTGAATAGGGCCTCGAGTGTAGATGGAGCCTCCCCCCCACCGGACATGCTAGCAAGACTTCTGTGACTGATGACCTTTGTGTAGTAGTAGTCGTCGTCGTCGCCGCCGCCGGCACCGCCGTCGTTGTCGTCGTCGTGTCGTCGTGTCGTCGTCGCCGTCGTTGTCGTCTTCGTCGGGAGCAGCAGCATCATCTGGTGCGTGTGCTAGCAGTGCCAGTGGTGGTGCCAATGCTGTCACTCGCACTCGCACTTTGCTGGTGCCAATAGTATAGAGAGTGGTAGTGGAAGAAGCTTGCTGTGGTACTTGTTGTGGTTGCTGTTGCGCAATAGAGTGAGTACAGGAGCCGGAGCAGCAAGAGGGCCTGCGCTTCGACCCTGAGTCATTCTTGCCAGGCCTTGAAGCAGTACGCTGCAAACAGCGCGCAGAAAACCCGCAAGTCGACTTTGGAGCTCGCCTTTGCGGCGCCTTGGGCAGATATAAACCTGACGTTGCACTAGTTTCCAGTGTGTGGGTTTTCCAGACTATAATATGGTATATTGAGGTTTCTTTGTCTTCCCCTGCTGTCGGGTGGGGAGCAGGACTTTCGTGTTTGGCAAGTTCAAGCTGCTCTATCATTGTTACGGACGACATACAACAGCTAGTATCCTATCAAAGTGGAAAGGGCTATTTCTTGGAACAGGAAAGGCTTCCTCTGCGAAGCTGAGAAAGACTGTCAACGACATTTTCGACTGTGCCAGTCCTCGTGACAGTTGATGGTAGCTTGTGCCCGATTTCACAGAAGTCCGCGCGCAGGCCAGGCCGTAGCCTAAACGTCAGCACAAAGCTCTTCGTTCAAAGTCCCCTTCCCCGTGCGTGGTTCCCATCAGGTGCGCCAAGCGGCAACGGCCAGAGTTCTTGCCGCGCCTGGGTGAAGAGTTTATGGCAAAGAACTTTCAGGGGGCTCACGGGACTGTCCCAAACAGCACCAGATTGCGGGTTCAGGAAGTTTCGCTTTGAAATTCTGAAGCTCGAATGTTCTGAAGCCCAAGTCTTCAGAAGCATGAGAGAAGCTCTGAAGCATCAGCGAGGCTCTGAAGCCCGACACCAAGACTTGCTACTCACCAAATCAAATTCGAGTCCTAACTTGTCCTACTCTTATAATTACTCTTCGGATTCACCTGCCCAGCAGGATTTGTTCGTCCTCGTGTCATTAGAGTTCCAGAAAGGCTTTCGCAGGATACCAGAACCCAGAAGGTTGAATACAGCCTGAACCGTACAAGCCTCAAATCCACGGAAGTGCCTCGCCGCCCTTAAACCCAGGTGAAGGACCGTGTGGTCATGGCTCGCTCGCAGGTCCATGCCCAGGCTGTTTTTCTCACTCTTGGGTTTTCCGGACATTCATTGTTGGAGGATGTCTTCGAGACCCGACTGCCTCCTGGTTCGCAACCTTCCCGACACTTCCATCATTTAATCAGTTGGGATGGGTTTTGAATTGACGCTGCCATGAGAATATGAAATCATTTTGTACCGTTGTACGAGGTAAGATCCTGAAGACTTGACTGGTTGTGGTGCTCTTCGTATGCTCTCTGTCGATGCGAAGCTTCGAAGCTTGCAAGGCCAGCAGCGCCGTTGTCAACGCCAAGGCCAAGGCACTGGAGGTCTCAGGGAAGGCCAAGCAAGCTGCCAAGGATCCTCGACTGCGGCTTTTTTTGTTCTTTAGTGGTTTGAAGCTCTAGGTCTTTGAGGATTTCTTGTTTGGCAGGGATTTAGCGCATTTGTCTTCAGGTTTGCAGGTGCTCGGGTTTCGTGTAAGTGGCCGCGGGAAAAGGTCCGCGTATTCCAGCTAATGCTTTGGAATGGGAATCACTGGGAGCCGAGATGCGTAGGATGTCAAGCCGGGATGAGGATGAACAGCCTGCAGAATGCCTGCGCACCCCGCTCGCTGATTTTAGGGGTTAGTTAAACGTTCAGGTTTCACTTTTCTGGACCAAGACCAGGGATGCTAAGCCCGAAGTCTCGCCAAGGATGGCCATGTGCAGGCAACTGCGGCTGGCATTGCAGGTGCCGTGTTGAAAAGCTTTGTCGACCGAGCCATCTGCCCCTAAAGCCAGTTTTGGAGAGCGGGGCTTTGAAGCAAGCCTATGGCGGCTGGAACAGCAGCACTCAGGTGGCGCTGCAACCCTTGGCGCCGCAGGCGGCGCGACCGGCTTGGCATCGGGCGTCGCCGTCGGTGCAGCCCTGGGCGTCCCTTGGCCCGGACTTGGAGGGCTGGCAGTGCTTCCGGTGGCTCAGTTTCGCGTTGCCTGCAGGGTATGATTCAGGTGTCGGTGACCGCACCGAAGATCTGACTGAAGTGGCAGAATAAGGAGATCGATGAAATTTCTCGTTGCCACCGAGCAGGGTCCAGACTTGGGGCACGGGGGTTGAGCAGGATTCCGGTGCAGTATTTCATCAGGCTTCATCCCGCACACCCGACTGTAATTGAAACCCTACACCCCTGCACCTCGAACCCTGCAATTAAAACCTAAGCCATAGCTAGCTAAGCTGAAAATAAGCTTCTCCGATGCAAGGTCGTCCCTGCTCTGTTCACGTTTGGCCTTTCTATCCCCATCGGCGCTGCCATCGGAGGTGGCACCGGTCTGGTAGTCGGCCAGCACTTCAAGAGTTTCAGTGCTTATAGAAGTTTCCATTTATACATGCAGCTCTTCATGTAGCTGTCCTACCCTATCCTACCTTATCCTATCCTATCTCGTCCTATCCCATCCTATTTTCATCCATCCAGGTGCTGCAAGGGGTCCGGAGGACTCGCCTCACGCACTAAATTCGAAGGTTGAAACGCAGGAAAAGGCAATTTAGGCCCCTTGCGTGAAGAGTCCATCAACACGCCGCACGAAACCACCTTGTGCAAGCCATCCCGTGACCGGCTTTAAGCAATCCAGGAAGAGGATGCTCGAATGGCAACTGAGGATGAAGGAGAGGCCTGGAGTGCAAGACCAACGACATGGCTTGAAGCTGCCGACTTGTGAAGGCGAGAATGGAAAGAGTACCTGAACTCCCTGGAGGGCGGGTCGTCAACGGAGGTGGCGTAGCGGGGATCGGTAAGCACAACAGAGAAGCACCTCGTCGAAGGGCGCAAGTGGCGGGCAGCAATCCAAGGCTGCGCGCGGGTGCTTGGGCGGCCGAAAGTCATCACGTGCATCTGAAATGCGCAAGATGGCAACGTCCACTCCGACCACATCCACAATCGTGCATGCAAGAAAAGCACGAGAGCAGAACACGAGCAGCAAAAAGCAACACATAAGCACACAAAGAGCAAAAAAGAACGAACAAGGTTAACACCCAGCGTTTTGAGCTTCCCAGGTGGGCTCTCAGCGGTCCCTGGCTTCGAAAAGAGTAAACAAACAGCGAACAAACAATTGCAAAACAAGAGCACAAAACCCAGCCACACCTTCAAACGGAGCAATCGAAAAGGACACAACAACGCAATACCGGGTTCTCAGAGGTTGCCTGCTCTCGGAAGCATTGAGCATACAGCATACCCTGGTGTTTGAAACGTATTTATGCAGTACGGAGGTACTGGTGGATCCATGCTCCCCAAGATACTGGCGTCCGCGTTTTTATCCATGACCAATAAGCATGCAGCGACATTTAGTTGATGCGGGCAGTGGACGTGGCAAACCTAGGCTGTCGGCACTACGGTTGGCGCAGCCGCTGGAGCCGTGAGTGGAGGAGCCGCCGGCTATGGAGCTTATGCGAAGCGTGGTGCCGCGGGCCCCAGAGGGTGTTGCCGTGTTTTTTTGTTCGGATTGAGTTCGAGTTTCGACTTGTGGCGTTTTCTTTCGCGTGTTTAGAGAACTTGGAATTCTCGGAGTCCCGGAGTTCGGGCTTCCGGGCCAAAGTTTACGGGATGGTCTGAGGGGTATGAAGGACTGTGGCGCGTAGGCCATACCTCTCAAGCCTGATTTTCCCTGACATCTGCCTTGGGGTTGAGGTGGAGCTCTGCTTGCATTTTCAAGGTTGGGTTTTTGCATTCTACCTATGACTTTGGGAACTACGCAGGCGCATCAGACTATCTAGTACCTGACGTCTGAGCAGATGCAAGCAGGAAGTGCAATGCCTCAGAGACAGACTTCTGAGTTTGCGAACGCCGAACGGTGCTTGTCCCGTCCTACACGGCGACTAGTTAGACATTCGGCTCGGCCTCTCATAGCTCAACAGCTCAGAAACTAATCTGACTGGCTTTGCGACAGCGAGAGAGAGAGAGAGAGAGCGGCAGAAAGAAAGAAAGAGCGCGTGTGTGTGTGTGTGCGTGTGCTCACGGATTTACCCGTGTTACTGGAGCGACATTGATGACACCCATACGCTATTGATGCTGTAGTATACTTGTCTGTTCTATTGTTCTGGGGAAACTTTTATAGTCATGCGACGTCACCACACATGAATGGAATTAGCGACCCGACCTGGAAATCGAAATTAAGTGGCCTGACCTGAAGTGTGCCGGACAAGGGGTGTAGGAGCTGGGGGGGAGGCCGGAGGCCTCCAGGCAAGGCCACGGAGGGAATTTTCATTTGGTTGAGGCCCAACAAATTGATTTTGGTGTTTCCAGTCCGCGGGCATGCTGGTGTCTGCAAGGCCCCAGGCCGCAGCTGTCAACCGAAAACTGATACATAAACAGGTGTAAATCCATTCCTAATCCTTTGACTGGCCCGAAAGCTAAACGGAATCAAGCGAACTTAATGGCCCGACCCGACTTCTGAAGCTATCGGAATTAGGATGCGACTATAATTTCCCCAGATTGTTGTTGCTTCCTCATACTTTGATGACTGGCCCAAGAAAGAGCCATGGTTCTTCAAGGTGCTTTTCGACTCCAGGTACTCAAAACCCAGCCCAAAATCGTATTGCTTGAGGAAATCCAAGAGATGCGCAAGAATGCCATGACGCGGGTCTCCTCCGGCAACTGCCTGAGTGCTGATGCACGCAGATGTGGACAGTCAAAGAGGATTTGTCTACGTGTAAAATAAACAGTTTGCGGTTTGGGTTGCACCGGGTGCTGGCTGCTTGTTAATTTGAACGGACTCCAAGGTGCCCTGAAACAACCACCTTACCACCTTAGCCATGTGTCATCTCCGAGTGAACGCCGCCCAGCATGAAGCGGAAGGTCGGAAGCCTAAGCTGTGGGACTTCGGGAGGTCAACCTAAACTTTACCTAAACCGAAGCAGGCATTGCCCAGACTCCTCGGACTGAGGAGTTGACCTCGTGCGAGGGAAAGCCGTGGCATCCGTGGACTTCGTGAAGGACTGGATGCCAATGAACGCAAAACTGCAACACGCAAGACTGAACTAATCAGCATCATACTATAGCTGCTGCCGCTACTACTGCGCTTACTTCTACTGCTGCTGCTGCAGCAGCTGCCACTCCTACTACCACTGCTACTAGGACGACGACTACTGATACTACTGCTTCTACTGCTAGCGCTTTTGTTGCTATAACGGTGACCTAGACCATGACGATACTATGCCTGTGACTACTGACTACTATGCCCTGCAAGACTTCCTGCTACGACTGCGAGGACTGGTGCTTGTTCTGTTGCTAACTGGTCTTGTCTAGCACTAGGCTGGTAACCAGCCTAGTCCAGCACGTGTACAAGTACTTAGTAATAGCAGTAGTAGTAGTAGTAGTAGTAGTAGTAGTAGTAGTAGTAGTACTAGTACTGCTACTACGACTACGACGACGACGACTACTACTACCACTACTACTACATACTACTACTACTACTACTACTACTACTACTACTACTACCACTCCTACTACTACCACTACTACTACTACTACTACTACTACTACTACCACTACTACTACCACTACCACGACCGCTACCAC